AACCGTAGCGGTGTCACTCAGTTCAGGTTAAAATGAGCTGGGGGATATTTAGGACGACCGTAGCATCAACGTACTCTTCAAGTAAATTGTTTTTCAAAATGTTCTGACCTTCACGAGCTTACCAGCAATAATACATCATTGGAATCTTTAGATTGGTGGTTGAAAATTCCTCCATATAAAGTAACTTGGTTCCTTTTAGTTATGCAGTCTGTTTCTGGCGAGGGTAAGAGGAGATGCTGCTAGGTTATTGGCTACCCTTTTTCCCATCAAGATTTAGCAGCATCTCTCATTCTTTTAGTCTATACACCAATAATCCTTTGGTCAATCCTTTAGCCACAATTCATAGTCCTCTTATCTCTATGCACAAACTTTAGTCATACCGCTGTGAGCAAGTCAAATCAAAAAGTATCGAAGTTAATGTGTGCTGAAAAAAAATGTTTTTTTTCAAACATTGATGTTGCAAAGCTTAATTAGGAAATGCGGTGTGAGGATCGCAAGCTGCACCACATGTTGACTGGAGAAGATTTAGCAGACGTGCCCGTATCTTCAAACCATTTGGCACATCGCGTACACCTTCAGTGTTTCTGTACAACATACGATGCTCCTTTGATTAAAACGCTCAAGTGTCACGTATTTCGGATTTTGGCCAAAGGATTATGGATCTAGGCTAAAGAACTACAAGTTTTGGCTAGAGCTTGATGGTAAAAGGTGTAGTCAATTGAGTTATGCACTTCCTTGACAATGCGCATATATCAACATGATGGCACTTATTTGATCAGAGAGAAGAGGAACACTATCTTGGTTGCCTCAGTCGCGAAAACGTAAAATAATTTGGCATTTACGGAAGCTAGCCTTGGAAAAATACAGCCCGAAAGAAGACATAAACGGGGGAGTAGTGTCAATTACATAAAAGTTCAACTGATAGCATCACAAAATTTTGTTTAGATAAACATAACTTAGCTGTATGCCAAAAGTTTTGGATTCAAAGTAAGTAACAAAAGCTGAAACGACAGAGAGTGGATCCGCGTTATTTCCAGTTTTACTGAAGCCTTTACTTCCGGTAACCTCTGATTCAGCTTTATCTTAATCACCTTTTGGTACTTTCATTGAACAGATTATTGCACAAAAATTTTCACAAAGGCAGAAATACCCGATCGAATATCTGCTAGGAGAAGCGAAGACTAAGTGGGAGTTCGATGGTGGTGATGGCGTTTGAACACGTCGTACAGGGTGATAAGTTAGTCATTTTAACCACTTAACCACCTTCTATCCGAGTAAACTTTGGAATAGCCTTTGGTCATTTATTGAACTAATCATATTTAGAATGTGTTTGGATATCCCCTGTGTTGAAGCGACCGGTTCGTCTTGTCAATATGTGTCCCAGAAACTGTAGGTAAACCACAGTGATGAAATGGATAACGGCGATCCACCGATTTAGAGTGAAATTATTCATTTTCATGAGTTAAGTCCCGTAAGGCCAACCGATTGGCCCTTGGTTTATCAAAGATGATTTTCAGGCGGTGAAGTTTAACTTTTCATTTATCTGAGAGACATTATTTCAATATCTGTCACAGAAACCGACCAACGAATGCCTTTGACAGGGTTGATCACCGTATACTGCTGCGAAAGCTTCATAACTACGGTATTCGAGGACTGTCCCTTGATTAAATTAAGGAATTTCTTCGATATTGTACAGTATAGGTTCGAGTTATGGTTCTCTATCGGGTCCGATTGAGGCTGCCCTCGGAGTTCCACAGGGATTCGTACTTGATCCGTGAACTTTCCTAGCATTCATAAACGACCTACCAGCTGTCCAGGAAAAAAAACATTATTATTCGCTGACGACACCAAAACATGGAGGACGGTACAACATTTTGAAGATTATGAAACCCTGCAGGAAGCTGTCGACGCAGCTTACCGATGGTCTATCACCGATGACAGTGAATCCAAGGTTGATAAGTGCAAGGTTGTATCCTTGAGTCAGAGGGGTCGCCTTCCATACTTACTTGGAACTCTGTTATCGCCGAGTTCTCCAAACGAAAAGGATCTGGGAGTTGGTGTTCGCGAGGATCTAGGCTGTTCCACACATTGCGCAAGAGAGTTATCAAAGGCCATAAAGCAAGTCGGATTTATGAAACTTGGTTTTAGGTCATTCGAAGCAGACCAATTGCTCCCTTTTCTACCAGAATACATTAGACCATACACCGAGTATGAAGGGCTTGGAATCCATGGCTAATTCTGGACCAAAAGTTACTCGAACGTCCACAGAGAACAGCAATCAAAATCTTCAAGGGGCTACATTCTAAAACCTACGATGAACGGTTGCATATTCTCAGACTTTACTCATCTGAATACCGTTGAATACGGAGAAGCATGATACTCGTACAGCAAATACTACATCAATCTAACCACCCTTATAGTAATATACCGACTGAAGGCGTTACTCTTTCAACCTTCCATCTCAAAATGTTTATGCTGTAACCGTCGATTCATTCAAGTCATGGCTCGATGGAGCATTGAAACGCTTAACTGTTAAGCACCCGTGAGTGAACGTCATAATTTGCTGTTTACTTGTACTACCTAGAGAACCCAATGTGGGATTTAATAAGCATCAGCTTTCTAATTTATTGATAATAATAATTTGAATCGGAATCTGACTTCTCCTCTATTGTGGACAAGCGGTTAGTATAAACGTTTCAGCGATCCACAGGTAGTGGGTTGAAGTTCCATTACTGCCGCCAATCTCCTTCTTTCCTCCATTTCCAATCGGGCGCAGCTCCCTCTCGAAAATTGTCTGTACCATGATGCATCTACTAAACGAAAGAAGGGGAAACGATTGTCCTGTACTATCTTAAATCAGTACCTGATAGACTATAGACCTCCATACTTCCTAAAATGAATTAGAACATTCTATTCAATAAAATGAAATAAAAGCTTTTTAATTGTTAATATGAATACGAATATATACTTCTTTTCCCAAATTACGGCGATAGTTCGCAAAAGCGCATAAGACCAGTTATCCATAAAGCACTTATTCATGAGCTTTTACTTATGTCTTGTACTAAATTTTAGCGAGAAAATTTTGCAATGCCACATGGATTTAAATCATTCTGAATGACAACTTTGTAAATAAGAATTTCTCCCAATGATGCTTTAATTCTTAAGCCCGATGAAGCTGAGTGCCTGTCTCCAAGATACATACGTAGATCACTCAAACGATAAGATACTTGAAAGATAAAGTACATTGAAAACCACCTATTGGTCGTTTAGGACCTACTAGAAGGGAACTTGTTTTATGTTGCTGCGTTGAATTTTTGTCCGAGTACCTTTGGATCACAGTTTTAGGACAAAGCTTTGATATCCCAAATTCGTGAATTAGTGCACAGGTGTGAAGATTTTTCCAAATATTGTATAGTCTGCGATTGTCGTCTGTTCCGTTTGACTGGACCCCAAATCGAAAACAGATTATTAGAAACAAAACGAAGCCTTTCTCAATGGGTGCCCCTAGATTATAGAGTTTAGGTTAAGGGAAAATAAATAAAGAAACTAGGATAAATAATTAACCTACTTGGTGGAAAATTTAGAGTTGTCATGGCAGGAAATGATTCAGAATAACGGTTGCGGGGAAGGTTTACCATTCTCCTGCAAAAGAAGAGTCACGTAGAAAGGTTGTGGTAGGGTAAATAAAAAGGAGCTGCTCGACATGGTTTTGAAAACCATTTTGAAGCGGCAGCCTGTTTCATACTGCGCTTATTCTGAATATCTATACGTTATAACAGATTAACTTCTGCAATGCTTACTCAAGAATAACCCGTTTGCCAGGGTAATATACAGCAAGGAAGGAGCTGGCTCAAAGCCTACAATGTGCCCTCATCGAGCGTTCCTGTTTCATGTTTATCTTGTTCGATGACTACAATGAAATACTAAATTTAAGGATTAAAGTCAACTAGAATAGGGTAGTTTTATATTTTATCCACGCATTCCTTCGGGAACTCAATTTCGAAATGAGAGACTCCGCCAGAACGACGGTTGCTCAGAGGTTTGTAGAACTGACCGGTTGGTGATGATGTGAAGACGACATAACATTAGATTCACGGCTTAGTGTGTAAGCAGGAATCAAAATACGGCTTTAAAATTCCAAATGTCATTTGTCTTAGTGATATGAACGCCGTTCAGTTATCATTATCGCTTCATTGTGTGCCGTGTTCATCGCATCATACAAAATTACTTTCAGTTATTAAATTTTATTTCCTGAATCATAAATTAAGAAACATATTTTGTTTTTAATGTTTGCAGATGAATATAGTTTGCCTGATCGGTTTGAATTGGATTCAGAAATTATTAAAACCCTTTGCAGATAGAAGGCCAAAAATAAATACCGATAACTTGACCCTTTTAAGTCAACCGGTACTGGTTGATACAAGAAAACGCGCAAGCTAAAGAACAAGGTGTATTTTCCACCGGAAGGACATCTCCAAAAAACGCATAACCAACTAAATTGAACTAGATTTTTTTTGAAAAGGTTAACGCCCGATGGTGTTTGTTGTATTTACACGTTACAAGCCATACAGTACTACAGACACATTAAACCAATATCAGAGGATCTCCGCCCTTCTCAGGAAAAAAAGCCTCTATTGACTCAACTTCCGTTGAGCAGCTTTGTGTGTACATCCCGCCTAAAGCCCTATTAGTATCAAATAAGCAAACCGTTTTTACAATTGCTCAACCCATTTCACCCACCCTGCATTTTAGCCATTTTCCTCTTTCATTACAGACATCATCACCGCTCCAAGCGACCGTTTGATCGCTGGTAAACTGACAATCAACCGGTTCAACCAATTCATGTATCACTTTTGCTAGCCAGAAGCGAAGGAGCATGAAATTTTGTTACGGTGCCTAAAACCGGTCAACACCAACTTTCTCTATTCCACCTATTCATTCCTTTAGTTCAATCTATGAAGCTGGTCATCTTTATGTGGATCATTTTATTGATCCGCATCATGGAGGTAGTAGGGAAACCAATTGCGTCTCCGTCCATTCGTCTCTTATCCAGTCGACGCCTAAATCCCGGTCACGAGTTTGCCCTGAATCCATTCATGCCACAGAATGCTTTGTTCACCGGACTGAAGAAATTACGTGTTAAACTGGCCGAAGAAGAACCGGTTGGCCGTGAGGTAGCTAACCTTCGATTTCTCACAAATGCCGTCGGACAGGCCGGTTTGCTACCTGGTGGTGGACGAGATAGCAAGCGAGAGGATAATTATCAGATTTTTAATAGTGACCCACAGTCACAATTTTTTCACCTGGAATCACGCACCGGAATGCTACGAATAGCTAGGCGTATTGATCGGGATCAACTGTGTCCCACATTTCGTTCCTGTTGTCCCAGTCCGCGGCTAGACGATGCTATCCCTGCAGCTGCATTTGACGTGGCTTCGGGACCGCCGGGGTTTGCGGAACTCGTGGGCATCGGTACAGGGTATGTGGATGGTAAAGATTCGGGATCGACTAATACCCAGCTGCCGGAATGTCGACTTGACTTGAACGTGCGTTCTGACGATCAGTATTCAAAAATTATTCTCGTGCACGTGCATATAGAGGACATCAATGATAATGCTCCAGTATGGCCTCAGTTTTCCACACTGTCAGAAGCATTCGTCAGCAAAGACAACGATGGCAATCCGGTGAGTCTTGGATACAGTGCATATTGAATGTTGCCATTGCTTTGATAAACATAGATTAGGATTACACTTTTTCGGAGTGTTAGTCGATCAAAAATGACTCTCTATTGTAACACTTGTTATCAAGTTTAATAAACAGTAGTTTTTCGGGCAAAATTCAAGACAGTAAATAAAAGAAGGTGAACTTAAAAGGGGACCATGTTGACTTTGAAGGTTCTAACACCAGGTGGAGTTCAGTAGTGACACTAAGTCAGGTTCAAGCCTGTGACGATGACCAACCGAGCTCTCTTGGACGTGTAGTCTTTACCATTGGGGAAGAAGTTAAACTAAATCGTCTGGGTGGTGGAAGCTAAAGGTCAACATCACCTGACGTCGGAGCATGAGGGTTCCAACCCAATTACACCAACCCAGCTGTTTTATTTTCTGGCTCTTATAGTTTTTCCACTGTTCGCAACCCCTAATGGAATCTGACTTTTCAATAATACATTTCATCACAAAGTGAACATTGCTATTATTATCAAACAAGGGTAAGCTCTATAAACTTCCATAATTATGGATCCCCGTGCCTGCTTAAGTTCATACCATTGAGTCTCACATGAAACACTGCGAATGGCACAGTCAGCTTTCGAAGTAGATTGAAATCAGTCTACGCATGACTTTGGTCCAAAAAATCCGGTAATGATGACTGGAATTATTGAGTGTCTACCGTTGGGGAATAAACGATAGTTAAGAATCCAAACTGCGTTTCTTAAAAATACTACTGAAGGTATGACGTACTCACGTTGAGGGAGCTCTATGCTGCTCGTCCACAATAAGAGGTAGCCGTTTTCCATTCCTACAAAGAACTACAGACCTTACGAGGATGTCTTTGACATAGCGATAATATTGATTTAGTTTGAACTATTTCCCCGACCCATATTTTTGCCTGTCCAAGCCAAACAACCACAAGAATCAGTTCCGCGGACTACCGAGGACGATCTCTACGGATAATCTGGATCAAAAGAAACGAACATCTAATCTCTAACGTTCATCGGCGTATGAATCAGGATAATTCGTCTCTAGGTATCCCGATCTGGAGCTTCTCTTCTTTGGTTGGTGGTCTTGTATAGTGAAACATTTATGAAGGGAGAGTGAGCATGTAGGATGAACGCCTCGTTTTTTTTTTTTTAAATGCGACTGATAAATGTTCACGCATCTCAAAGCCGTCGTTGACATGCAATTCAATCATTCCACAACCTCAGGGGTTCATTCACCTTTGTGAATGCACCTTGTGTTGAACTGATAAAGCTCACAAAGCACGTTTGGGAAGGAAAACAAAGGAGGTTGACGCGCAGAGGGGTTATCAACCTTCACTCACAGAAGTGTAATCGGCTAATCAAGGCCAACTGGATCATGGTATGGGGGACTGATATGGGTCAAGATTGTTTGGGCGTTAGAATCGATCGGGGAAAACATGCACGAGATAGGCGTGACGTTGGGCATGCATGCATGGTGCTGCGCATCAGAGGGATGGATTCAACAACGTTGTTATCATGAATCAGCGCAGTACTTATTGATTGAGACAACAAAGACATCTGCGTATAATTATTTTCCTTAGTAAAACAGGCTTTGACTTTGGGTGCACTGAGGTCAGGGATGTATACTGCCGGAGGGCGATATTTTAATCGAACATTTCAGATATTTAAAGTTTGCTTTATCTGACGGTTACTTCGGCAAGGGAGCATAAAGTTCCAATAATAATTGCACAATACACCAAACGTTTTTTTAGAATATACGCTTTTGTACTGGTATTGAGCATATGTGGCACCAGCCATATAAGTAACATCCTCAGCCATGCGATAGCGTAGATACGCAAAGGATAAAACACTCGGGGATTTGAGGTGATAAACTGAGCAAGATTCCATTGGAAACTCCTTGTGACCTAAAAGACAGACAGTTTATGATTTGTTTATGAACAATGACGGTTTAGTATTATGAGAATTATAAAAATGGCATCTAAATGGGGACGTAGAATTCAGGAGTCTATTCAGTCAAACAATTTTGAGTGTTCTACACGCAGGAACGATTCAATATCGACAGAACTTCAGCATGCCTCACCTAGTTCACATAAAATGACATTGATGAAGCTCCACAAATCCTCTCAGTGCAACCAGATAAGTGTAAAATGTAAATGAGTGTAGAATATTAGACATCGCTTTATCTCCGGGTCTGCACGTCCAGTACGTAGACAGACAACCTCCTGTAGATCTAGGGTTTTGAACACATGAATACGGTTTTGAATCTACAGTTCAGATATCTGACTATTTTCCCGTGCTTGGGCACAACACATAGACAGAAACCGTACTTCTCTAGTGACAGCTGTTTGGGGAATTTATAATCTTCAGCAATATAAGTGTGGACCATGTTGCTGAGAATGAAACTGCGGATGCTAACACAACCCCCAAAGTTTGACTGAATCGAGAGGGAACATTTGAAAAATTGGAATTTTTGCGATGAAGTAAAAACATCGGGTAGAACGCGTTGATTCGCCACTTAACCCTGTTTGAGATTCATGTTACTCGGAATGGAGGATGAAACCAACCATTTCACCATCGAATTATTTCCTCTGTCTTTTCGGGAACCCGTCGCTTGTGATCATCTTCGTTAGTCTCCCAGAGTTGCAAAGCCTTTGTAGCTGATGCGCTGCAAATAATGCAGACAGTTTAATTCCAGCGATCTGTATTGGTGGTAGTGGTAAAGGGTATGCATTTCGGAGTCAGAAATAGACCACTCACAGCTTATAGCAGTAAAAAGTTTCACTAGTTTCACGTGTTACCACGTGCGGATAAATTAAATTATTCTTAATATTGTTAGCATCCCACAGAAATCAATCTCAACAATGAAATCTATTGTTCTCTTGCTGTAGCTGCTGCTGCTCATCAAATTTCAACGCATCGGGCATACCACCTGTCAATTAGTTTCATCTCCTTGAGATCCCCCGCAGCGTTTCATCTGTAAGCAATTACCGCACAGCAGGTACACTGCAAGAACAATCTCATACAGCGTCTTATAATGTTCTCAGGCATAGTCTGCCAAGGGTTAGACAGTGGTTGACTGGATGTTTCTGCCTTTTGGCGGTATTCTTTTTCGAACAGTTAAAACACGTGTTTTCGATTCTGCCACTGCCCGTTTTTACCACTTTATACCATATAATGATTGAGTTTGGTAGAGTCAGAGGATCAGACTCCCACAAAGTGCATGTGGATGTGTTTGGCCCAAGTTGAATCCTGATTTGCACACAAGGTACTGTGAACTGCCTTTTGTTCTCTCCCAGCCGGAACAATGTTATAATCTCATTCACAGCAACTCATCCCGCTGGATCCAAGGTAACTTTTTTCATTGAAAACGTTCATTAGTTGACCACTCGGCCTCAACGGAATTTAATCACTGGGTTATTGAGGGCTTAGACTGACTCCACTCATGCAGTGGACCATGCTCACAATCACATCTAGGCATGGTGACCGATTTATCAATCCATCTTGACGTGATTCGCTTCCTTACCCGACCGACAGAGGTCAGTTAACTCCGGGTTCGTTCGTTTGCATCTACGACGCACACTCGATCAACGATCAAGAACGACGTTCCCGGGTGGAACGGGTGTGTGCGTGTGGGGGTGGGGGAGAACGATTCACCTCACCCCACCGAAACTTTCATCCTCGCTCGGTAACTCACTCAAAAATTACGTTTGCTTAGAGTATCAAGCTTGGATTAGCGCATTCTAATTTTCAGAGACACCAGAAACTCTTGAAGGTCTTCAGTGTGGGTTTCACTCCTTGGGAGATCGTTAATTCCCCACGAGATAATGCATTCAAATGCGATTGAAATGTTTGTGATAACCAACAAAGGGCACTGGACAGCTGTGCGTACTTTTCGTGTCCCTGGGACAGGGAGGTAATCGGGAATCATCCAATTAGGATCTATTGTGCTTGCGGTGACAGAGTTTGCCTGGAATCCACTGAAGTAAGTCGGTAACAATATAAAGGTAAACTGATTGGACAAAAAGAAATAATTTACAAATTCTCTCCCCCTTTGCACAATTGTCGCTGAATTTTTATAAAGCAAAATTTCCATAAACTTTAATGCGCGAAGGGAAAAAAATGAGCTCGTAAGGATTTCCGCATTCTTGGTATTTGCAACTGTATTTCACGGTTGGAAATTCATCCGTTTTTAGTGCAGTGCATTTCAGAGCTCAAAAGTTCCAGCCGCTTGTCTGAGCAACCTAGGAATGCTAAAGAAAGGAAATCTATTGCGATTTATGCAGGTTTCTTTCGTTCATCTATTTTCTGGAGTATGTTAGAAATAAAATGTTATTTGGTCTCTTAGGTATCGGTATTCCGATGGTTAATATCACAGTTACAGTAACTCGGGGGTCGGTCATGCTACTAATTCTATCGCTAATGCCTATCTTACACATTTCAATAATTTTTAAGGCAGTAATTCACTGAATAAAGCCATTCGTTTAAAAATCGGCTTTACCGATAAATATACAATAAGCAAAAATGAAGTAAAATAGTATTACTATCATTATAAGCTAATCATGCTAATGTAATTGTTTTCATTACAGTCCTTATCGTTGTTTTCGTTTGTTTTGTGTACAAGCTTTCGAGTGACAACCGTATTACTTGGCTTGTCAAAGGGGGTGCAAAAATGGAACTCAGATCGTTATGTAGATATTGTTTACTGATTTTGGCCCTTTTGATTTTTGATTCCACTTCACAATTAACATCACCACTGACAAAGACAAATATTCTGTCCAACACCATGCCTATTTGTTTAGGCTTATATCACTCAAAATCGCGTTTAGCTCTCCTCTGTATCAGGTAAAGCATCATATATCTTCACGTGAATTATTTCAACTAGGGTAAAGACATATTGTTCTAAAAGATGAAAATCGCCAGCCAAATAAGTATTTTGTTGGTTAGTGTCTTCCCATTTGTTTTCCTCTCATCGGTACACATGAAGCG